TCTCAAACAGTCGGAAGCTGGCGTACTGAACGGGAAATGTCGAGAAGGCTTTTCTTATCGATATTTTCACAATTGGGTCATCTTTAACACTTGAAAATTCAGGAAAGAATAGAAACTCGTAAGTTTACTTTTAGATTATTCACCCTATTTTACCCATCCTTCGAAACTCAGTAAATGAGAGCTCAAAACTAAGACTTTGTGCTCTTATCTTGCCATTCTCGACAAGCGGTATGTTAGCAAAGTGGATGGAAAAAAATTTCAAGTTGACCAAAAGAAATTCTTTTGATAGCACAAGATAGCGGTGCCTCACGATCAGCTCGATTTCATGAAACAGGATAACGATGTAGCGAAAGTAAAATATGCAAACTACAAGATCCAAATAGCACAGACATAAGGCTTCTATTGCAATCTAGATAGGATTTTCAATTCATAGTTCACAAATTAATAAAATGTTATAACATTCAACAAAAATCCTCAACAATAACAAGAGCCAAAACAATAAGAAGACAAACTCGAAGCAAAAGATTTCAACTTGGGTAAACTAATGAGAATCTCGAAAACAATTTTCAGTTTGTATCCCTCTTCTCGATAAACCTCAGCTGCTTCTTCTTAGCCTTTCGCAATTTAGCGGTGTTTTTGATCACCTAAATCGAATGTTCGAAATAGGTTCTATGGAATATGGTCAGATCTTTGAGACTAACCTGCACAACCTCTCCCTTCCTCTCGTTTTCAAGACGTCGCTTTTCCTGTTCTTTCCTCCTTTCAATCTTTTCCTATAATTTGGAACAATGCTGGAAGGCACATGTAAAAAATAAGGTGAATCATTGCAACTGAGTTTACCTGTTTCTCTTGCGCCTTACTATCACGTATTTCTTGCTGTAGAAGTTTGACTTGTTTCAGTTTTGCTCGATCTGCCATTTTCTTCTTCCAGGAAGACTTCAGAGGCTTTACTTTTATCAAAGAGCTATGCCTGAATAATAAGACTGATTACACTATAAATACTCCAATATAAATGTTAAAAAAAGAATATGGATAATTTGTACTGAGTTTTTTTGTCAACTCGGAGTATTATGCTGATGTTATATGTAGAACTGTATAATAGACCACACATAAAAGCAATAGGAAAGAATTTTCGGAAATTTGTGGTATCTAATATAACCTTTCGTAAGAAAAATTGCGTCCCACGAAACCTAGTTGTAGGGTCTAATCCAGGACCCAAAGATTCACGAATGGCAGAAAACAAAAAAGGACCATTTGTACGAACGCATCAACCCAATTCACCAGCGAAATAATATCGTCACTGCTCTAGATCTATGATTTTGGGCAACTGGTAAATTAAGTTCAGTTGTAAAAAGAAGAGGAGATGGCAACCGTTTCTGAGAAGTTGATAAATTGCGACTTTGTTCCAAATAAATGACATCAGATTTAGTATCTGTTTCCTCTAACAACCAATATATTTTCAGAAGAACATGGAATATAGATGATGCCCAATTCAAAAGATCACAATCCGCAATAATCACAATGGAATTAATGAATGTAATCACAATATGGTATTCAGACAAATTTAAGACGCTAATAGTCTATAACTTTGTCTCCATTCATTTTAATATCATGCGCATTCTGATGGCTGCGATTCATTGATTTATAGTCGCAACAACCCAGGAACAATAATAAAGCGAGGGTGAAAGCTTTCGCGAGAACTTTTGCAAGAAAACACTAATTATGTCCAATTAAGACCAATCATATTCTTACTGTAGCACTTCGAGAATTTTTTCACTATTCGAATTTCGAATTCGCTAACCTCAAATCTACCTTCATTATTTGCTTAATACTTCCCCGAAAAAAATTATACTAACTTTCTTTGCAAATTACATGACTGTCATTTACCAGCAATTTCTTTGGTTTCAAAATGAAACGACGATGTGAGAAATGATTTAAGTCTTCAGAAGCAGAGTTGAAAATGTGAGCTAGTCGGGATTTCACTATTAAAGATAAATTCTTCCGCTGTTTCATGCCAGAAATTCTTATCCCTTCATTGAAAAGTGCTCAGCAGATAAGGAACGCAGATTTGGCATTAGATTGCGCGTTGCGCATTATGGGACATTTTTTTGCAGATAAACCTGCAGGTGAAGCCAAAGGATTCTAAACATTTCAAGCAAACCTGGCAGACTGCGTGTCCTTCCACCAGCGTCCTGACTTCGGCATTCCACGCATTTCTTTTGGATGTGAGGAAGCAACGACGTTATTGCTTGGATTATTAACCACTTCACATGAATCTATCGCCATTACTTGCTTTTCTTCCATTTCTGAAAAGTTATTATGTGCAGAATAAATACTTTTGTTGCACAATGAAGGAGAATCTTTCCAAAAATGTAACGGCGGAGAGTAGGAAATGATAATCAGTCCTTCGAAAGGGCACCGTGTATTCGTCCTGCATGAAACATAGATTATTATTTCTGATCATCATACATCAATTAACAATTACTAATACAATAACATTCCAGACGAAATGCAAAGATTTTGACCGAAGGCGATTTCGCGCTCCAATCTAGCATTCCTTTAATAGTGGTGGATATCCGATTCGAAATCCAC